TCTTTTGTCAACCATGACTCTACCACGGTATTATTCAGATCATCACAGTGTAAACATACTTTGTACAATCATAACTTTTGCTAAATATATAAATAATCTTTATATCATTTTTTATACTGCTTTCCAGACAAGAATCTGACTTAAAGCAGTAACTCTCATTTGCTTCACTTATCACAATTGTGTATTCTGTTTGCCTTCTAGATACCCAGGAGCAAAGAGAAGGCACATTTACCTATAATTATATTTAATACATTTACATTGATATTATTGCATTTAGTTTGTTTGCTTAGTACTCAGGGGCAAAGGAGGAGATTTTTAAAGCATTGATTCATTTTTGCTAATTACTCAAAAGAGCCCCACCAAAGCACCAGAACCCCTGACCAAGGGGTTATGAAATTCACAATTTTAGTTTGTTTGCTTAATACCAAGGGGCAAAGGAGAAGATTTTCAGTTTCATTTTTAATTTATTTTCAGTGTATATTAAATAAGCCCTCCACCCTCCCACATGGATCCCCTGACCCAGGGGCCATGAAATTCATAATTTTGGAAGAGGCACTCTTCCTCATCATAACTTTGTACTTAGTTAATCGGCTAAATACCCAGGAGCAAAGGAGAAGATTTTCATTTTCACTATACAATCTTTAGAGCCATATCCTAGCGCCAGAACCTCTGACCCTGAGGCCATGAATTTCACAATTTTTGTAGAGGGCTGAATGCTTTTTTACAATCATGCCAACAGTTTGACTGCTTGATGTCCAGGAGTAAAGAAGAAGGTTTTAAGTTTGCATTAATTTTGCTGGTTTTAGCCTCACTCCTTGGGTCCAAGAGGGACAAGGGCCATGGATTCACAAATTTTACTGCCCTTCACCCATATATGCTATATGCCAATATTGGTTCAGTGGTTCCAGAGAAGAATCTAAAAATGTTCAAAAGTTTACGACAGATTGACGACGAACGACGACGGACGAAAACAGATAGCAAGAGGTCACCTGAGTGACTCAGATGTTCTAATAAAGAAAACTTTTGGGATGAATTATACAACTTTTACCCCTTAAAAACATTTTTTCAAGGAACTATTTGATATACAAGAAAAAAAACCGTCATGCATACTATGTACTGCATCATCAGTTTCAGAGAGTGATGATATGGATTCAGAAAAGCACAGTGTGGTGATCCGAAAATTCGAATCACACATCATTTTGTTAAATCAACAGTAAAATTGAGTGATACACAGTTGGGTATATAATAAATGTTTTGTAATATCTTTCACTTTTTATTTTGAAATATCTTGCACTGACGTCCATGTTTTTTGTTAAAATATAGCTGATTCCGCCTACAGAATGACGTAAGAAAAACTTCATGTGCAGCGGTCCAATATCTCATCGACAGGTCCAATATCTCACTCAGCGGTCCAATATCTCATCAACGGGTCCAATATCTCGCTCAACGGTCCAATATCTCATCAACAGGCCCAATATCTCACTCAGCGGTCCAATATCTCATCGACAGGTCCAATATCGCAATCAGCGGTCCGATATCTTAATTTCCATCCTCTTGTGATGTCATAGTTTTTGTTGTTTTTTTTGTTGTTGTTGTTTTTTTTTTTTTTTGTTTGTTTTTTTTTTTTGTTTGTTTTTTTTTGTTTTGTTTTGTTTTTGTTTTTTTTTTTTTGTTGCAAAAAAACTGTTATTAATTAAAAATTATACCCAATAGGTGCAATGATAAATATTGTTAAGTAAAAAATTTTGATAATGTATATTTTCTTTATTTAATCAATTATTTAATCTTTATAAAATGTTGCTAAAAGCAATAACTCCTTCTCATGCTTTTTCATTCAAAGCATTTTCTTTATCGCACTTCAAATGTAAAGTAGTTTCCCTGATATTCACAAATCAAACATATCTATAAAGTAGCAATTTTAGTACATATTTATTTAGGAAACCATCTTTATAGGTATAACAATGAAATATTTCAACCCTCGAAAACAAGGTAGGTACCTCGATGACAGTGGTTTTCTCTGGATGGAAATTTTCAATGTTACCATCGGCTAATTTTATTTTTCAGAAATTAATTGTCAGTTTCAATCATTATTAAAAAAAAAAAAAAAGGTTCAACATCATGAAAGAAGATTGTTCCTTTGGTATGATAAAACATTGATAAAACTGTCCTTCCTTTGAAAATTTAATTTGTGACATTCTCGAATTTTCTTGATCCAGTTTCATCGGCATATACGGTATTTTTGGGGTTTTGCTGTGTCTATTCATTCAGAAATAGTTATTTTCTCAATTGTCCTCTTGGACGAACATATGGTCATTATTCCAAGAACGTATTCTTAATTTTTCAGTATCAGACATATGGAAACTATTTGAATAAAATATTCTTCTTTTAACTTAAAGGAAAAAAAAGATTTACAATATTAAGAAATCTTGTTACAACCATTTTAAGATTTATGTTCAACAGATGGAAATCAATCAGCAATTTCTCCCCATTCTTTAGTAAATGTCTTGAATATTTTAACAAAACAAGCATATCTCCCTGCAATTAATATTAAGAACGTAAAAAAGTGAATTAAAATAAGCTCATTTTATATTCATCGCAGTTCCCATCAATCTAGGCTTGTTCCTAGTTCCTTTTTATCCACCATTATTTGTATGAATTCGCCACCAATGGCAGGGTGCCCCTAACGTTGCAATTGAAGTACTCTATATTTTACCCCCCTCGTCCACAACTAATTTTTTAGCCCCCAAATCTTAATGACAAATTTTAAATGGTATCCTTTTAATACTGGGATATGCAGACGGGTCCTACTGAAGCGCTTCGATCGCTGTCTCTGACTCGTGCATTGCACGTGCGTTCGTAATACCGTCACTCGCCGAGCGCTGCCATATTATATAATAATGCAACGCTACATGACTTGAATATTTTGCTAGTTTTCTTTTTAGAGCGTTATCTTTGAAACTAAATTAAAAGAAAATAAAATTGATGATTACCAAGATACCATATATACATGTTTATATTTGACAATTTTTATTGTTCGTGTCGTTGGTCATTTTTAGTGCTTTATATATATATATATATATATATATATATATATATATATATATATATATATATATATATATATATATATATATATATATATATATATAACAAGTGTTGATAAAAAAGGCTGGTGATTCACTTAATTGTGCCGTTTTCTTACTACATACAACACTACCCGTCATTCATCTTCTCTCTGACACTAATCTCTGTTTAAACTTTTTATAAAATAATGTCATGGAGATGGGACTTAAATACCTGGCATATTGTGCCGAAATGCCACACAAATGGAGTTTTAATGTAAGGAATAAGGCTTTGTAGATCCCCTTTTATACCTTACACAAGAGGGATATTGTAAACAACATCCATTTCTCGGCCGTAAGAAGTCGTTGATAAATAACAGGAGATCAGAGGTTACAAGCTGTAAAGACAACATGAAAACATACACTGCATATTATTCCATGTTATATTCCATCATTATATAAATTCCTATTCGATATTCAGTAGCTTTCATATTTTTTTTTTTTACATTAAATTACATATCGCAATTTATCTAACTACTTGAATGGGTGCAACTGAAAATTCCACTTTCGATCTCAAATTTTCTGTTCCGCTTATCAATATATTTTTTTCTGTTCTACAAGGTTTTGGGATATGTTCGGTCCCGATTTTCTCCATCAAAGGTAAGCCTAGAACTTTCAATAACCCATTCCGATATTAAGGTCACGGGGTTTAAACTTGTCCCCTAATTTTTGAAGAGGTTATCTGCCCTTAAAGTCCCGTCACCTGAAGCCTGGTGATAAGGGAGTCTGATACAGTATCTCCCCGTCAGTAATACTTAAGAGCTTTGGTGGACCGAGAACAATCTAGATTAAATCGGCAATCGTTTTCAAGAGCTATGAAAATATTGGGCTACAATAAAAGTTTTCTTTCGGAAGCTTTAGTCCAATTGCAATAATACTTTTCAAGTGCTTCCGATTCTGGTGCACAGGCTTGCAGAAAAAAATATCACAACCAAATAACTCATAGTTGCAAGATTAAATTTTCAATTTGAATTTATGCTACCTGACTTTTTTGAAAGATGTTACAGATCAGTTTGCGTAACAATAGTTGTAATTATCAGTAGTGCACGTCTCTCCTGCGTTTTACCATATGTACTGCAATATAAAATGCAGCTACAAATTTACTTTCTGTTCTAATAATCAGTAGTACTGGTCTCTCCTGCGCTTTACTGTATGTACTGCAGCTATGTTTATGCAATAAATATATATTTTTATGATTTTTCTGCGCATGCTTTTTAAAGTTCAAGATATTAATTGACCACCTGATTTCTCGTATAAAATTCTTAAATTGCGTACATATCATTTTTTTTTTTTAAATGTATCCGAGTTTATAATTAGACTGAGGTGACTAAGCTCAATCATGGACCGATCCTTTTTTTTACTACACACAAATATTAATCATAAAGCGTGAGCGCTTTAGCCTTATGTTAGGAGGGCGTTCGAACCCTCAATAAGTAGGTCATCAGGCGCAGTCCGTGATTTCATACATCGACATCATTAAATTTGTAAAAGCTAAGTAACCCGAAGACGAATGTTCCCAGAGTCCAGCAGAAGTCAGAAACTCTGCATACTACAAACAGATGGTAGTCTTTAGTACTATAATAAGAATCTTGCGTGTCCTTTATTTTGAGAAGTGTAGAAGCGATAAAAGAGGTGTTGATTTGTTAAGGCGCCAAATGGATGACATTTTGTGTGACATCACGTCATTACAAAGGGAGATAAGAGTGTATATCAAATGATCAAAGATGACGTCTGATGCCGTATGCTCGTTCTACAAATCAACCCTTATGACCAGTAGACATTGTGTCTGCTTCGGATACTTCCATAACGTAATTTTAATACCATATCCCAAAAGTTTCATGTATATAATATGTATATTGTGAAATTGGTATACGTCCTTGCTTTAACATCAAAGAGTTGTGTTTCAAAAGTAACAATAATGCAGATCTACAGATGTCACATTATCTAACTAAACAGTTCTTGTTCCAATAAGGTGTTGACGAAATAATAACAATAAAAAATCATAATCCCGATATCCTCCAATTGATGACCTTGCTCTGAAAACTTAGTCAAATCAGCTCCTCAATTTGGTGCACAAGAAAAAAGACGCTGTATTTCGGTCATCAGTTGAATTGAAGGTTCAATCCTATCGGACGCATACTGTAAAGCATGCCACATTCTTTGAATCTAATCACTTACAGTTGAAGACATAATGAACAAAATAAAAAAAAATCCTTTAAAAACAGGGGGTTTTCCTTTATGTATATGATTTTCTGAAAAACCAAACTGTTTCCGTTTTCACATGTCTTGAATCGATGAGCTTGGAGTGCAGTAGTAGGGAACGGGAGATAACTCACTGACGTATTTACAAATCTGGCAGAACGCTGATTTCCTTCATTCCCAGAGATCCATATTCTGGAAAATAAGGGTCATCTTCACGTGCATTAGTGGTCTGAAAATAAAAATAATGCCAACCATCAGCGTTTCTTCATACAAAGAAATCAGAAAGACGTTAAGGAGAAAAATAGAGTATGTAAAAGAAAAACATCGAACAGATCTACAGTGCAAGGAATATGCATTCCGAGCGGTGTACACGAAAAAAGTTTGACCTGGGTTGAAACGGGGCTCATTTTTCAATGTTGTTTATTCAACGTTGAAAATCGAGACCAAAAACCGTGAAATTTATAATTTGTCATTTTTCAACAGCTTGGAAATTTTTCTGAAAACCTTTTGACCTCAACGCGTTGAAAATTTGCCCAGTTGAATATTGACCCGGACTACATAGTTTTGTCCTGTGTTCGAATAATAGAGAATAATAAAAATCTGCATGATTTGAATCAACCGGCAAACCCATAACATCCCGAATATAACATAAATAAAACAAACAAACTAACAAAAATATCAGACGTCCTTAATCAGGAGGTATAATCATAAATAGCTATGTTTTCTGTTGTAAAATACATGTAGACTAGTACTTGTGTCCTCTCCCGAGAATCTGTTTAATTTAAATTTGTATATGACAATTAATTGTCAATATACATATTTAAATTGATGAGATTTCAAATACGGAAGAGGACACTAGTACGTTGGCAATATTACGCAACTATTCGATATTCAGTATGTTCACGTAAATATTTTCTATATGTTGAGCACGTGCATTAGGCAAATTTCTTTATTAATTTCCATGGTAACTTCCATGCATGTTATGTGTGCAGTACCAATTTTCGGACATTTGTGTAAAACTGATATTTTTTCTTCTGATTACGCGGTCGGTATTCATACGGTAATCTCTTAATGAAGTATTTCATTTCATAAAAAGGAAACTAATAACAAGAAATGACATTAATCTTTCCTAAACCTCTCAACCAGAGCAAATACGATACATGCCGTAAATAAAAATCATCATTGGACACAATTTACTATTTTCAGGTTGCAAATTTTAATTTTAGCTTTTCCAGGGCTGATATGGTAAGAAAACTGTTGAAACTCACTACAAAATAAGAAAACTGTTGAAACTCACTGCAAAAATTAGACATTATACATGTAGCTTAAACATAGTTATTTTTCCTTTACTAAATATTAAATAATATTAAAATATATAATTTATGCTGAAGTATACCTGATATCCTATGTTGTTATGTTGAAGTATACCTGATATTCTATGTAGTTAAGCTGAAGTATACCTGATATCCTATGTTGTTATGCTGAAGTATACCTGATATCCTATGCTGTACTCTGAAGTATACCTGATATCCTTTGTTGTTATGTTGAAGTATACCTGATATCCTATGTTGTTATACTGAAGTATACCTAATATCCTATGTTGCTATGCTGAAGTATACCTAATATCCTATGTTGTTATGCTGAAGTATACCTGATATCCTATATTGTTATGCTGAAGTATACCTGATATCCTACGTTGTTATTCGGAAGTATACCTGATATCCTATGTTGTTATGCTGAAGTATACCTAATATCCTATGTTGTTATGCTGAAGTATACCTGATATCCTATGTTGTTATGCTGAAGTATACCTGATATCCTATGTTGTTATGCTGAAGTATACCTAATATCCTATGTTGTTATGCTGAAGTATACCTGATATCCTATGTTGTTATGCTGAAGTATACCTGATATCCTATGTTGTTATGCTGAAGTATACCTAATATCCTATGTTGTTATGCTGAAGTATACCTGATATCCTATGTTGTTATGCTGAAGTATACCTGATATCCTATGTTGTTATGTTGAAGTATACCTGATATCCTATGTTGTTATGCTGAAGTATACCTGATATCCTATGTTGTTATGCTGAAGTATACCTGATATCCTATGTGGTTATGCTGAAGTATACCTGATATCCTATGTTTTTATGCTGAAGTATACCTGATATCCTATGTGGTTATGCTGAAGTATACCTGATATCCTACGTTGTTATGCTCCTCATTACAGAAGTCGAACATAATTTCTCCAGATTCAGGCAGATTACTTGACTTCGCGGAGAAAGACAAAGAATCGGCTTCTTCACTTTGATTTATTCTTTCCCGTCGAGGATTACCTCGACATTGTTTGTCACAAACTTTTTGGTCATGTTCCATTATCATCCTTTGTAATTTGTTGATATAATCGATGGCTACTCTTAAGGTCCGGACTTTGGACAGACGTTTTTGTTTGACTTCTCCTGTCACCCTTTTTCGTAATCTCTGAAAGGCTTCATTGACGGCTTCCACACGTCTGCGTTCTCTGGCGTTACGTCGCGCTACAAGATGTGGCGGTTTTTCTCTATGCGGCACGTGCCGATACGACGATTTCCCGCCTGATTTTTTCCCGCGGTTTCTATACTTCACAGTCATCCCTTTGCAGACTGAGTTTGGGATGGTGTGAAAAGCAGCATGGTTATGACCACCTGCTTGCACCACTTCTGAAGCAGGTGAAAACAGACAGGACGAAACTTTTCTCTCAGAAAACACGTCCATGGTTGTTTGGTCTGTCTTTGCATGTCGAAGAGATACCAAGGTAGCTGCGAGGCGGACTTTCCGGAAATTAGTAAGGGAATTGTAATGATATAATTTTCTCTTCAACAGTTTCTTCTCGATCTGTATATGTTAATAATTGATGAGATTGTCCTTAAAGGCTGTGATCAGTGGACGAGCCTCGATCTGTCATTCTCCTTGCTATCCCAGCATCCCCCTTGATAACGTCAATGTGATAATTAGGTGCTTCACAGAAGCTTCTCAAATACTGAAAGACCCTTAAATCGGTTGTAATTGTTTTATAATTAAAAGGATAAACCCCTAAAAAATAACACTCTCCTTTGAAAATTGCAAAAACGTAATGTATCTCATGATGGTTTCATTTTATATTGTTGGGAGAGAAGTCAAATCAATATGTGACATCTCATATTTTATGAAATTTACATATTCAGACATTGTATATATACTATTTTCATTCTTATCACTTGCGTATCATGTTTTTTTTTTCAAGAAAGCCCGTTACCAAGACAGAAATTTTATGTAACTTGGATAACTTGGATGAATAGTTTTTTTGGATTATTTATTTTCAATTCCCCTTTTGGACACCTTGAACCCTACTTAAAAGCTAGAGGAATGTACCCCTCCTCCACCTAATTTGTAATTGACATCCCTCTGTGTTGTGGACCATACTCAAATATTTCAATGAAAAACGGTTCTGAGTATGGATATAAGTCCGTTGAGCTGTATCCTTCAATTACACAGTAAAATTTTGATGAAGAGAAGAAATGTTACTGATAAAGATCATCTGAAGATGCGACCCACAATTATCTCTAATTAATAAACTCGACAAGAAGTCATTAGTGACAGGCAGACCTTGTTAACATTGTCAAGACAGAGCATTCCTAAAGATCAGCATTTCCCCGGAAATTATTCTATCAATATTTAATGACTTCGGCGATGTTGAAGACTTTGTTTAGCAAAAGACGATCGTGCACCTGCTAGTGATGTATGTAATCATTATGTAAATTACTCCCAAATCTTTGAACTTTATTTAAAATTGTTTTAGCTTTATTGAATATTGGTGCTTTGAATGTTTTCGGTAAGATAAAGCATCAAGCAAAAGAGTATTTTTGAAAAGTGCCATTTTCCTAAAATAAACATTTAATACGTGACACTAATATTTTAGATAAACTTTTTTTCATTTGAAATGACATTCATCAATCTTGTGAAAAGTTCAGATTGGTGGAAAACGTCTAAAATATTAAAAAGAAGTATAGAAAATTCAGGAGAAGAGGATTTAAAATTTTGTAAATTCAAAAAGACAAATAGTGTGCTGTTTGCTCTGTCCCATTCGGTGGCGCGCGCAACGAGCGAATAGAGTGTGCCTGTTCGTATCAAATAAACGAGTTTGTTTATGGAAGCTAAACACGGGTGTGTTTATTTTCATATTTTTCTACATTTTTTAATTTGTTTAATATAATACACTTTCTAACTCTGATCCCCTCATTTCCGAGTCAATACGCTGTGAACATCTTTGAAATGTAATTTGATAAAGTGGTAAACTATACAACTTGTAATGGAAAATACGAACAATCTCTTTGACCATAGATAACTGAATTATAAATGTACACTTTCAATATTTACTGACATTAATACTCAAGTATTGTGAATTAGAGAAGATCCATAGTCCATTAGATTCACGTAAGCGTTATCTCACATGTGCTGGGGGACGCATTCCCCTGTCCTAGGAACCTCTCCCAGCGAAACCATGGCGTGCCAGTTGTCGCGTGCTTGTACGTGTCCTAGTCGTGCTAACGGCACGCGCTGATGGAAACATAATGGCTATCAAATATTCCTACAACGTCCTCTTCTGCGTTTAAACACGTTAATTCGTTTATGTGCATGACTGATGATAGATTCCTAAATATTTATTATAACTGAGCAATGTTATTTCGACAGTTTGGAGTGGGGGAAGGTGGTATATCGGCGGGGTATCCCCTCCCGATCAACACGTAATGCTCCATTTCAAATAGAATACTCCTCTAATGGCACAAATATTGAATTTTTATTAATCTGTTATAAAATTGTTTTGAAATAATATTTCAATGATATTCAATTACAGCATGACTGTATTTGTATTCGATTTTTTTTTTAATGAATTATATTGCCATTCTCTAAAGATAGAATATGTTCACGACTTTTTATGTAAAAAGGAATTTGTTGCTAATATTTTATGGTTAATTCAAAACTGAAACCACTGAAGTTTTGTATTTTTGGTAAGCTTAAATGGGAAAGACAAAATATTTTCCCATTCAAAATCATGTAAGTTAAATTAAAAATACTGTTCCAGCTAGCTTTACCTAGAGGCTTGAAGGCATTGTTTTTCAAAATTTCGTAAAGATTTCAAGATTTCTTAGCATTTAATAAGGAACACAGTTTTGTGTAATATATGGCATGTGAAACTGTTGACAGAGAAGCAGTATTTTTACTTTTCATCCATTCTCTAATAGTAGCTATAAGTCCGTTGTACCCAAGAAAGTTTGCTTTGATTGCCTATTTCAAATTGAAAATATTTACATCCATGAAAGAACCCTCTTCTCTCAATATATCATTTACAAAAACTATATTTTTTTCAAACCATTTCTTATATATAAAAAAAAATTTTATTACCAATTAGGATATTTTTTTTAATTAAAAAACAGTGGTTCCATAGAGGCACCTGCTTCTGGCAATTTTTCAGAAAAATATAGCCAGGCCTCTAAAACATTTTTCTAAAACATAAATTTAATGTCTTTTATTTTTTTCATAATAAATTCTTTTCCACATAAGACTATTTTATTTATATATAACTCTAAAGCTAAATGTGAATTTTTACTTTGTAGTATAATAGTACTAGTTTTCATCCATGAAAGTTTCAGTGACATAATAAACTCTGTAATACTAAGCATCTTGAAACCGCCATCTTTGTAATCCTTAATACAAACACCTTTTTTCCGTCTAAAGATATTGCTTCCCATTACAAATGAATAAATGGTGTTTTCTAAATCTTTTAGCTGTGAATCAGAGGGATATGGAAGGGAGGCAAAAATATGGTTTAATTTTGGCAATAAGAGTTTACAGCACTGTTAAAAGTCCTAGTGGTGTGATATTCCTGCGTTTCCAATGTCTTATTATTTTCTTTATATTTTCTAACTTTGAACTAAGATTCCTTTTGAATATATTTTGCAAATCTGTATCAAGTTCAATGCCCAGTAACTCTAAGCTTTTCTTTCAAAAAAATTGATTTGTACATAAAACAATCACTACTTTTTTTGTTTTCTATTCATATCACTTGTGTTTTATTATAGTTTATATGTAAGCCTGACATTTTTGCAAAATCTCTAAGGGTATCTAAACTTGATTGTAAAGATTTTCCAGTGCCGTCCAATATAAGAGAAATGTCATCAGCAGGCATAGAAATTTTTTCCCCATCAATGAAATGAATACCTTTGATGTTCTTATTGCAGCCCGGAGGACCGGGTTGCTCTATACACATAAGTTTTAAGTGTTGGTATATGGGGATTGAGGTGGGAGAAGTTATTCAGAATTAAAGGTTTTCTAAACATTAAAAAGATTGTTAATCAGAATGTTCTTTCCCTTTATAAATTACGAGATACACAATATATTTACTTCCATAAAGTGAATCTGTAAAAATATATATGTTTTTCACATTTAATATATAAAGTTGCTTATCATTTACTATCGAAAAAACGACAGGTCCCTTTTTTTAGAACATCGAATTTTACTTATCGCATAAAAACGTACATTACACAGTTCTTGTTTTACATTCTTAAGGTGAAAGACATTTTTGAAAATAGGTGATGCATGTGTCTGGTTTCAAATTATATTTTATGCAGCCAACATTTACTTGAGGAATTGATAAAGTTTAAAAGGGTATCGTTTTTGTTCGATTTTCATCCGACTATAAGTTTTCAAAATATTCTCGACTATCGTCTCCATCATTTAGACGCATGCCTTTTTCACACATATCGAAGCGGTTTGATGATCAAGACTCATTTCCATTGTTTACTTTATTTATTTCCCGGGCGACAATTGATGGTTACATCAATGTTTTCTTGTTATTTCAAAAAAGGATTTCAGCACATATCAAGAACAATTATGATGATAGTGGGTCCCCCTGGCGACATCCACGATGCAAAGAGATGTTAATTTCCGATAAAGTCCCTCCCTGGTGTACCACTGTAATATTTGAATAAGATAAACTAACCCATTTCCTTATAGACTTTCCAAAATTAAAAAAACAACTTAGTGATTTCTGAATAAATGACCAAGATACAGAATCAAATGCTTTTTCAAAACCAACAAGGAAAAGAAGACCTGGAATGGAATTTTTTTCTTCTTCAGTATATTGCATAGTGTCATAAATAAGTCTAATATTTTAGCTATATTTCTATCCTTTATAAATCCAGTTTGGTCTGGATGAATTATTTTGTCTAAATACATTTTAATTCTATTTGCAATTGAACCAGATTCAATTTATATACTGTGTTTAAAAGAGAGATGGGTCTCCAATCTTTTAAAAGTGTTTTGGTTTGTCACCTTTGTGACGTTTGGGAATGGACTTTACGGGGTTTTTTGTGTTTTTTTTTCTTGTCGAGAAATTTCTGAATTAGAACTTTTTGTGGACTGTGTTGGACCCCCCTTGAAAAAATTCCTGGATCCGCGCCTGTCGTAAGTTTACTGGGTGGAGATTAATTCAAAATTTAAAACAGGAATACAACCCGCAACTGATTCTGAAAGAACTGAAAATCTTCAATCATAATTAATTTACAGGTAGAGAATGCATAGAACAGATTTAACAATTCACAATTTATAGGCACTTGTCATCTTATACATATGTATATTTTGAAACAGGATGGGTAACACTTTAGATGGAAAGTGAGTGGCCGATTTATTTGTGGTTGTGTTAGAAAGAGCACATGGGGAAATGAGGCGTTATTTTTTTGTTATTTCGAC